TTCTAATCGTAGTAGTAGTAGTAGTAGTAGTAGTGGTAGTAGTAGTAGTAGTAGAAGTAGTAGTAGTAGTAGTAGTAGTAGTAGTAGTAGTAGTAGTAGCAGTAGTAGTAGCAGTAGTAGTAGTAGTAGTAGTAGTAGTAGTGGTAGTAGTAGTAGTAGTAGTCGTAGTAGTAGTAATAGTAGTAGTAGGAGTAGTAGTAGTAGTATAGTAGATGTTGTTTGTAGTATGATAGTAGTAGTAGTAGTAGTAGTAGTAGTAGTAAAGCTACTTAGTATAGTAGTACAGTGATAGTCTAGTAGTAGTAGCTAGCAAGTAGTAGTAGTATTAGAAGTAGTAGTAGTAGTATTAGTAGTCGTAGTTAGATTTAGTAGTAGTAGTCGTAGTCGTAGTCGTATAGTACTACAAATGAGCAAAAAGAAAAGAAGTAAAGTAAAAAACGAAAAAAAGAAGGAAAAAAAAAGAAAAGCCGTAGCCGCAGTAGTAGTAGTAGTACTACTACTACTACTACTACTAATACTACTACTAGTAATCGTCGTCATCGTCGTCGTAGTAATAGTAGTAATCATAATAATCGCAATAGTAATCGTAGTAGTAATGGTTAAAGGACTAGTAGTAGTAGTAGTAGTAGTAGTAGCAGTAGTAGTAGTAGTAATAGAAGTAGTATTGCGTAGTCGTAAGTAGTAGTCCGTAGTAGTAGTAGTAGTAGTAGTCGTGAGGTAGTAGTAGTAGTAGTAGTAGTAGTAGTAGTAGGAGTAGTAGCAGTAGTAGTAGCCGCAGTAGTAATAGTAGTAGTAGTAGTAGTAGTAGTAGTAGTAGTAGTAGTCGTAGTAGTAGTAGTAGTGGTAGTAGTGGTAGTAGTGGTAGTAGTGGTAGTAGTAGTAGTAGTAGTAATAGTAGTAGTAGTAGCAATAGTGGTAGTAGTAGTAGTAGTAGTAGTAGTAGTAGTAGCAGTAGTAGTAGTAGTAGTAGTGGTAGTAATAGTGATAGTAGCAGTAACAGTAGTAGTAGTAGTAGCAGCAGTAGCGTTAGTAGTAGAAGTAGCACGAGTAGTAGGAGTAGTAATCGTAATCGGTGGCGCCTTCTTCGTGTTCGTATTCGTAGTATGGTTCTTAGTGTTCGTCTCAGTATTGTTGTTCGGCGTATTGTTCGTCGTCTTCTTCTTAGTATTACCATTGGTATCCAGCTCCGTCTCCTTATTATCCGTAGTGGCATTGTTAGTATTCATCGTCCTCCTCATCGGCCTCTTCCTCCTCCTCCGCCCCCTCCTCTTCTTCATCCTCCTCCTCCTCTTCTCCTCCTCCTTCTCCTCCTCCTCCTCGTCCTCCTCCTCCTCTTGCTGCTCCTCCTCCACCACCTCTTCATCCTTCTCCTCTGCCTTGTCCTCCTCCTCCTCCTCTTCTTTCTCCTCTTCCTCCTCCTCCTCCTCCTCATCATCATCATGATCAGAATCATCAGCAGCAGCAACAGCATCATTTTCCTCCTCCCTCCCTTCATCCTCCTTCTCCTCCTGCTCCTCCTCCTCCCTCCTCCTCCTCCTCCTCTCCTCCTCCTCCTCTTCCTTCCCCTCCTCCTCCTCCTCGTCCTCCTCCTCCTTCTCCTCAGCCTCCTCCTCCTCAGCCTCCTCCTCCTCCTCCCCCTCCGACTGGAAATCCTCGCGGACCTTCGAAAATGTATGGTTGTGTTGTGTTGTGGCATTCGAAGACCTCCAGGCCGACGACTCCCCCAAAGGTCCCATGCAAGCCGCCAGAGGCCCCTGCACAGATAACCCTCATTTTCTTTCGTGGCACGCAAAGTGGGAATCTCCTAGGCTTTTTCACGGGTCTCGCTCGCAAAAACAGATCCGTGCGTCCGCGAACAGATGACAGATCTGTCAAACGGATCACAGAAAAATGCCAAAGTGTTGACATTTCTGTCACCTGCCTGATAACATTGTTTGCAAGTCGTTGGCAAGTCTGTCCATCGATGCTCTCGCTAACTGCCTGTGAAAAGTTCGCTGACACGCTTGCAAGCTGTGCGTCAGCCGTACGCTGGCTTCTAGTTGACAGGGGCTCGAAACTGGTGCAGAACGTAGTTCGGGTCGGGCGAAAGGGGGGGATAGCAAAGGGGGTTTGGAGAAACAGCTCGCGTAGCTGATTTTCCCCGGCGCCTCCCGCGCCGGAGGCGGCTACTAATCGAGGAATGGGCCCCTAGGTGAAGCCGAAACCAGCCTGCAGCGGCAAATTTCGTAACCCCCCCTTTCCCAATCCCCCCCTTCCCCCCGGCCCGAGTAGTTGAAGGTTCGTTCGCGGATTTCGCTCGCGAACGAGATCCCAAAGAGATCGCTCTCGCCAGCGGAGCCCAACGGGTCCGCCGCGAGTGATCTCTCTGTGTTTCGCCCGCGCCCGCCCGCCGTGCGGAGGCCTCCGGGAGGCGCAGCCACGAGGGCCCGAAGCGTGCACGGACCTGCCGACGGTGTCCAGGAGCCCCTCTCGACTGTCCTCCTCCTCCTCCGCCTCCTCCTCCTCCTCCTCCTCCTCCTCCTCCTCCCTCCCTCCTCCTCCTCCTCCTCCTCCGCCTCCTCCTCCTCCTCCTCCTCCTCCTCCTCCTCCTCCTCCTCCTCCTCCTCCTCCTACAGGGCAGTTTTAATACATGGGATGTTTAAAAATACTGGATTTATAATACATGATGAATGCATCAATCAACGTATGCATGAACCCATCGTTGCGCTTAATATTTAATCCCTGCATTTTTAGTACACGATCCGCACGCGGAGCATGTATTCAAAACGGCACTGCAGGTCGTTTACCAGCGGCGGGCTCCAGAGGGATGGCAGAGGGCGTGGGCCTCCTCGGAAGGCCATGAGGGCTCCTGGCCTTCTGAAAAAAAAGTCCCACCGGCCTCCTCCGAAGACACAGACGGCTTCTCGGAAGGCGCGAGGGCTACTGAGAAGCCGCTCCGCCGTCTGAGAAGGCCTGCTCCCTCACTTCCCCCCTCGGCGCGCCGCCGACTTCGTTCCCCGGAGACCTCCATCTCGATGGCGCCCTTGCCGACGTCGAACACCTTGTTCGTCTCCTTGAACAGCTCCTCCTGGCCCTCCTTGCCATCGGCCTGCAGCGCGGGCAGGGCCACGGCCTGGTCGTAGCCGAGGTACATGCCGCGGCCCTTGGGGTCGAGGAAGCCGCCGGTGCGGTAGGACGGTACCTCTCGGGAGCCCAAGGACGACATACGTACGTAGAACGCGCTAGGACGACCCAAGAGGGCCTCAAGAAGCCCCCAAGAGGCCCTCAAGGGGGCCCAATGAGGCCTGCAAGGGACCCCCAAGAGGACTCTTATCCACGACCCAGGCGCGGTGTTGGAATGGGCCGAAGGCCACTAGATACGACAGTCGTAGACTTGAAGTTTCGGAGGTCCACGCGGGTTTCTGAGGTCGGCGCTGGACCCCAATGCCCACATCCCTAGAGGCGCCGCATATGGGTGTGCGGAGCGCCGACCTAAGATGTCTGCGCGGATCCCCGAACAAATTATGCGTATGCCGCCGTTTTATGGCCCTCGCGCCATGAACTCGCCGCCCCAGGTGTAGCCCGGCTTGAAGGAGCTGCCCTCGCCCTTTGCCACCAGCGACTTGCAGGAGAACAGGAAGGGCACGTACTCGCCATCCGGCAGCTTCACGGTCGTCGCCTGGAAGTCCATGCCGTCCTCCTCCTTGAAGGTGAGGGGGTTGGGGCTCAGCGAGCCTTCAACAAACGCGATTGTGTACGTCTGCCTCGTCGTCAGCTTGGTGGTGACAAACTCCTTGCCCTTGTCGGTCTCGGCCTCGACGGCGAAGGACTTCGGCTCCAGGCAGAAGTTCTTCATCCTGCTGCCCTTCACGACGGGGACCTCCGTGCCCACCTGGTCCACCGTGGGGCAGCGGTTCGCGAGGCCGGAGCCCCGGACCTGAGAGTAGGTGAGCTGGCTGAACTGCTCCGCGGTGATGGCCCTCGCCGGTGCCGCGGCGACCGACACCACGAGGCCGAGCGCCGCCCCGGCGCCCAGCAGAGGCGCGGCCCACGCCGCCCAGGAGGCCTCCTCTTGGGAATCGAAAGCTGGTCAGGTCAGTGCTCCTGCCCCTCCTCTCCCCCCTTCCCTCCTCGCCCCTCTCGAGGGAGGAGGGGGGAGAAAGAGGGGAAGGAGCGCTGACCTGACCAGTTTTCCCTTCCCGATCCTCGGCCTCCGCGCCCAGGGGTCCCAGCGCGGCCGCGGCGGGCACGGCGGCGGGCGGCTGCGGCAGGGGTGCGCGCGCGCCGGGGCCGTGCACGTAGGCCGAGGCGCCGCCCACGAGGAGCAGCACGGCGGAGGAGCGGGCCATGGCTGGCTGCCGAGCTGGTGGGGTCCGCGGCGCGGCCAGGACGGGCTGCGCCACCGCAGGGGCGCTGAGCGAAGAGGCTCGGAGGAAAAAGCTACGGGGGAGGAGGGGAGGGGGGATCGTCGGAACGTCAGCAGTGCCAACAAGCCACCGTGGCGCGATGTCGAACTCCAGCGCCTCCCCGGGCCCACCGCATAGGCCTTCAAGGCAGAGTCTGATAGCGCCAGCACGACAAAGGAGACGACGACGGCGAACACATTGGCGACGACGACGACGAAGACGAAGACGAAGACGACGAAGACGACGACGACGACGACGACGACGACGACGACGACGACGACGACGACGACAACGATGACGACGACGACGACGACGACGACAACCACGACACCGATGAGGACGACACCGACGGTGGTAGGACGGCCAACCGCGACAAGAACATCGGGTCACACAAATGTCAGCGGTGGCCTGAAGCTTTCCGGTAGCTCCACGAGGCAGTTGCAGTTCAGGCTCAAGAGCTGAAGAGCTTCCAGGCGGCCTTGCTCGCGAATGCTACGCGTACTCTCGCTCCTCATCCTTCTCCCCCTCTTCCTCCTCCTCCTTATCCTCCTCCTCTTCCTCCTCCTCCTCATCATCATCATCCTCATCAGCATCATCATCATCATCATCATCATCATCATCAGCATCATCATCATCATCAGCATGATCATCATCATCATAATCATCATCATCATCATCATCATCATCATCATCATCATCATCATCATCATCAACAGCAGCAGCAGCAGCATCATCATCACCACCACCACCACCACCACCACCATCATCATCATCATCATCATCATCATCATCATCATCATCATCCTCTCCCTATTCCTGCTCCTCCTCCTCCTCATCCTCCTCCTCATCATCATCCCTCCTTCTCCTTCTCCTCCTCCTGCTCCTGCTCCTCCTCCTCCTCCTCCTCCTTCTCCTCCT